GACACACAGTTCAAGTTTAAAGTTAGTCACCTAGTGGGCCAAACTCTTCCTCAACTCCAGTATTAGGGAGGAATTAGGCCTATAACACACAAAAAAATCAAAAGTTTTACTCAGACTGAACCCAAACAGAGGAGCTTTCTTTCAAAAATAATCTAAATTGCTTTTCTTCAGATAATTTTGCTTAATACATCACTGCCTAATTTAATGAATTATACTTATTAGAAACACTTTTTTCTTCCTTTTTCTAAGACAGGAATTAGACCATGCAGTGGCTTTTACATAAGGCTGAAATTTACTTGACAAAGTAAATAAGCGAGCAAAGAAGCAGAGAAAGTCACACTGCTCCATAGATAACTTCTGCAATTCACTAGTGCAGAGAACATAACTACAAAGCTATTTAAAAGATGAGATGGGACTGAATGGCTGAAATAACTCTTATTCCATTTTCTGATTCAAGTTGAGTATGTCTCTAATATTCTGATATGATTTTTAGGAAAACTTCTGAGAAATACAAAGTGCCATTCAGCAACTGCCAGCAAGAAAAAGCCCATGAAGACAACCTTGAAACAGCAAGATAAGGCACAGCCAGACTTTAAAACTGGTATTCCTTAAGGAAGCTCTAAAAGATAGAAGTGGGTAAACCCAGAAAAATGCACATACCATCCAGCTGTCTAAAAAAGTCCTTGTCAAGGAAAGCAATACAATAGCAGTGCCTTAGACATTTCTCTGGAGACATGAGTTCATCGACACAGTTATGGTATTTTTCGTTTCCACGAATAATCTTATTTATTTAGCTAAAAAAACTTTGTCATAGTACCTAAAGTTGTTAACTCATCTTGCTTGCAGAAACTTCCTTTTCCCTCCCTGTCCTGTGCCCAGGACTACAGAGATAATGCCCATGCAGCTATCTCACTTGTTGGCTTTCATTTAGAGACAATTTGCAAGAATCCCCCAGAGATTGCTTGGCAACCTTCTCCCCCTGTGTTTCAGCAATGTTTGTTGTCTGTCCGGTTCCTCTCAAGAGGTGATAACCACACTTCCCAACGTGAGATCAACCTGTAAATTAGTTCAAAAGGTTTCAGGGGCCACAGGAGAATCTGCCAGGTGAGTCTCTGCCCTTCAGATCACCAAGGGAGTGCAAGAAAGGGAGACAAGCTGCCTCTTGTGATGGAATACAGCCAGATGGAGTAAGCTGGGACCCACCAACAGGTATCTGAAATCTGTAGGTTCTTGCTGGAGCAGAGGCAGAGAGAACCACATATCCCCAAACCACATAATTTATTTTCTATCTTCCTACTAGGTGGAGTCAATGAGGAGCAAGTAAGTCACTGCTTATTAAGTGCTTATTAAGCAGACAGTTTGTGGAGTCCAATTTTGGCTTCACAGAAGTTTGGGGAAGCAAGCAATCAAGCAATCAAGCAGCCATCGTTATTCTTGCTCTTCTCTGCAACATAGCAGGGCAGAGTCAGTTAGGGACACCTACTCAGCAAATGTCACAAGGCAGGTACCAGGCAGATGAGATTTATGGACTATGGATGTGAGTCACAGGTCCAGGAACATATCTGCAGCACAACATTTCCCCTTTGAGTTACTACAGCAACTCAAAGCCATCCTCTCCCAACTCAGAACCATAGAATCATTAAGATTGGAAAAGACCTCCAGGATCCTGGAGTCCAACCATTAACCCAGCACTAGAAGGTCCACCACTAAACCACATCCCTAAGCACCACAACCACTTCAAGGATCACATCAAGTTTGATCCTGTTGCAGCAGGTCCTGTTCACCATCACTGGCAGCCCAGAACTTATACACAAACTATTTCAGTAAATCCCACAAATGTGCTGAGCATCTCCAGTCCTTCATTATTCCAACCATTCACTTTTGTGTTTGAATTTCCTTCTTCTTCCTTGTTATGGACAACTTTTTTCAGAGTGTAGTTTTTGCTGTATCACTGAAATAGACTTTTACAGGCAATCAGCTCTGCTTTCAGTGTGTTCTCTCCCAGATACCCTGCAGGGGTTGTTCCAGTGTTTCTCTATTACCTTGGGAGCTACTGAGTGAACAGAGAGAAGAGGTTGGAAGGTGAAGTTAAAATAAGCTTCCATAGCTTGTAAAACAATTTTAATTTGTTTTAATTGTTTAATTTTAATTCCTGAATTGCAATGGAAGGCAATTCAGGAATCAGGAAGTGCCTGGGTAAATGAATTGCTACAAAGAAAGTGAGAAAGAAACAATGACTTGCCAGTGTCTATGTCCTTTCTCCTGATGTCTTGTTTCCTCCTTGACCACACCAGAGTCTGTCCCCTCCCTGGGCACAGACTTCTTAGCAGGGCCTCTCATGACAGGAAAAGGGTTTTAAATTTAAAGATTTTATACAAGGAAGAATTTTTTTATTATGGCATTGGTGAAACTCTGACAGGGGTTGCCCAGAAATGTGGTAGATGCCTCGTCCCTGAAAAAATCAGGGTCAGGATGGATGTGACTCTGAACAACCTGATCTAGTTGAAGATGTTCTTTCTGATGGCAGCAGAGATTGGATTAGGTGACCTTTAAAGGTCCCTTCCAACTCAAGCCATTCTGTGATTCCACCAGCCAAAAGCAGGTTTCTGGCAACCCCAGTTGTTGTCAACCTTTTTATTTTGATGCCTGCCTGAAGATCCCCTACTTTGTGTAGCAGAAAAAAGAAGCACAATCAATCACTCAGGAGCCTCCCACTAATGGGTCTCAAGCAAAAGGAGCACACAAAGTATAGATAGCACAGAGAAAAACAATCGGAAAAGACAATGTTTGGTTTGTTTGGGGTCTCCTACTTCTTTAGGGATATGGCATATCTGTTTCTTTCTTTCCCACATGTATTTTCAGACTATGGTTTCCATAGAGAATGAAAATATAAACATTGTGTCAGAATTCATCTCACTGTATCAACAGAAATACTGAGGAAAGCTGTGAGACATCAGTTCCCATGCAAAGTTGAAAGAAACTTAAGGAAATCTAACTTTTCAAAAATTTCCATTGATACACAATGTGGGACTGGCTAAGAATTTAAACATCTCAGTAACATGTCTTCTTCTTCTCCGTAAACCACATACATTTGGAAAAATTGTACTCTTATTTCATGTTTTAGGAGATAAGAACACAATCATGAAAAAGTGCCTGACTCGTGTTCTTTAGGCTGCTCTTCTGGGCTATGGGAGATCTCATTTTTAAGTTCTAGTTTATGAATCAGAACAGATTTGAACTTTGGTCACCACAGCAAATTTCTACCCTTCCCCCCCTTTAAAAAAAAAAAACCAAAAGAAAATTTAAAAAAACCCAACAAAACAAAACAAAAACCCACCACAACCTAGGTATTCTCATTTCAATTATGCAATCATATATAAAGAACAACAAATATTGATTTGACATTTTATCTACAGCTCAGTCATGTACATGCATAAGCATGGTAGCTGTTTAAAATGTATAAATTAAACCAACACCTCCATGAAGAATGTGGTCAATTTGTTGACTCCCCAGAGGTCATTATTACCACCTTTGCAAAGGAGAGCCTATGGTTTTTGTATCTGATCTCTTCACCACATCTTCATGTTTCTCTTGGTGCCCCTGGGAAAATATCTTGTCTCTAGTGTCTTGTTTCAGGACTCACACACACCTCAGGATGACCAAGCAGAAGGAGGGCGGGATCTTGCAAGCACAGGACGCCTAAGATGACACAGACTGTCGGGTTGAGGAATTGAGTCAATCTTTCAATACGGAGAGTTGCAAAATGCATGTGGTACAAGAAAATGTGTAACTGAGTTGAAGCAGCTCTTACTTCTTTCAACTTCTTTTCAACCCTTGTCATGCTCAAATAACAAAAGATAAGTATTTCCTCTGTCACTGAAGCTTTGGGGAATTCTCCTGGAATGGTAACAGTTAATTAATTGCGTGTAATAGGGATGTTCTAAGAGCAAATAGCTTCATGTATTTTTAACAATGTAACACTTGTAGGAATTTTAATTTTTTAATATTGAAAAGCTTCATCTTCAAACCTAATACACCCATTTAGAATAGCTGGGTTCAGCAGCTTGTCCATGTTACATGAATCTGAAACTAAAGCCGGGACAATGAGGCCAAGGCTGGTACGCACCATCCCACTGCTGCAAGCAGTCTGCTTAGCACGTAAGAGTCATTAGGCAGAAGTGATGGCTCCAGCTGCCTTTTCAGACAGGAGCTCCTTCTGGGGAAGAGCAACCAGTTAGGCACTGGATGGACTCTGTTTTGTAGTAAAACCCTCTGCTCTAATCAAATGCAATGCAAAAGAAACAACTGACAGAGAAGGGAGCGTAAAGGATTAACTAAGATGGTTCCAGCGTTTTCTTGTGCCTTCGGTGAAATAATTTACTCCGAGTATCCTGCAGTTTTCCCATCTTTGCACTGACCGCTCTGAGCCACCCGCAGGAGCGAGCCGAGTCGCCAGCTGCTCCGGGGGCACGCGAGCTGCCGGGAACCGGGCAGGGATCCCACACGACGCCACCCGGCACCCCGGGGCATCAGACCGCGCCCGGCCGGGAGCCCCAGGGCCGCCCCTTCCCCGCCGCCCTCTCGCCCGCGCTCCAACTTCCCCGGCGGGGCTGCCTGCCGCCTCCTGCCGCCGCCCGCGGCTGCCCGTGACGGGCCGGGAAAGCCGGAGCCGGCGGGAGCGCGGGGCTCCGCCGCGGGGGCTGTGCCTCTGGACACGGCAGGTGCGACCGGCACCGGCACCGGCGGGGAGGGCGCGGGCTGCCGGCTCTCGCCACCGCCTCAGAGGCAACAATGGGCCGGGGAGGCTCCGCGCCGTCGCTCCCTGCCCGCCCGGGGCTTCTGTGGGGAAAGGCGCTACCTGCCCAGCCCTGCCCGGCCCGGCCGAGCCGAACCGAGCCGGGTCGGAGCCCCTCCGACGGCTGCCCCTCGGGACCTGCGCGCCCCAGGGCGAGCGGCACCGTGCCGTGTAGCCAGAGCCCCGCTCCATCCCCTGGCCTCACCTGTTCAGCACTTTCCTGATCCTCTGGCGCACGCTGGAGGAGGGCGCGGAGATGCCGCTCCTGCCGCCGCCACTGCCGCCCTCCGCCGGCAGGTTCTCGATGGTGGCCACGACATGGCTGGGCTGCGGCGGGTGGTGCGGCGGCGGCAGCGGCTGCGGCGGCGGCGGGTGGCGGTGGTGGCGGTGGCGCTCGGGGGAGAGCATCGCGGCGGGGCTGCGCCTCAGCGGAGAGCGGGGCGCATCCCGGCGGAGGGCGGCGGGCGCTGCTGCCGCCGGCGCTGGCTCCCTCGGCTTCCGGGCAGCTCCAGACCCTCGCCCGCTCCTCCCTCACTGGGCTGCCATGCAGCGAGGGGCGGGATGCTGCCGCCGCCGCCAGCGAGTGCCGCTCACGGCCGACGAAGTGGCAGCAGTTTGGCGACCCTCCTCCTCCTCCTCCCACACCCCCCGCGCCCAGCCGGTGCCTCCCCCCGGCGGAGCCGCCGCCGCTGCGCCGCCTCGATCCCCTTTGTTCCCGCTCGCCACCGCCCCGCGCTCCCCTGGGGCGAGGCTGCTGCCGCGGCCCGGCCCGGCCGAGCGCGGAGCCCCGCGCAGCCCCGCGCAGCCCCGCGCAGCCCCGCGCAGCCCCGCGCAGCCCGGCGCGGCGGCGGCGGAGCCCTGCGCGCCGCGGGGCCGCCGCCGAGCGCGGCCGGGGCCGCCAGGGGGAGCCCGCGGCGGCGGCAGCGCCCCGCGGGGCCGGCGCGGCGGGAGCCGGGGCAGCGCGGCCGGGGCCGTCCCGCCGCCCGGGAGCCCTGCCGGCGTCCAGCTGAGCTCCGCCGTGGGGACGGCGAGCCGCGGCGGCGGGGCCCACAACTTTGACGCGTTAGATGCTCATCGGTTTTCTTCGGGGTGTCTAGTTGTCTTTTTGGGGTGGGTCTTTTGGGGGTGTTGTTTCTTTGGGTTGGGGACGCTCACAGCTGGGCGGCACGGCACTTCCTTCGCTGGTCGGTGCTGCGTGAGCACCCGGGAGCTGCCGTACACTTGTCTTCAGAAACGCGGTACGGCCGGTGTCGTCCCCAGCCATCTGGGAAAAGTGTAAAGAAAAAATTGCCTCTGAACAACGCCCTGGCTCTTACACTGCCAGAGGCACCTAAGGGACTGAGAGAGGCATGGCAGTCGCTGTAAAGTTCAGAGCTCCATACATTTTTCATAGAGACAGTGCACTTGAAGTTCATGCCTGGGCGAGCCTTGTTAAAGTGTTGGTTTTCTCTCTTTCAAATACCGGGAGACTCCCCAAAGAGAAATGGAATGAACGTGTGTTCAGTATTTTTTACTCTAAAGATAAAGATATTTCACTTCAAAAATTGAATTAGGCTCAGAGGAGGTGTCTTTTTAATCAATCATGTCTCTCTGAAACATATGACATGTTATTTTGCTAAGTCCTTTAAGTGACATAAATCTGAAATTTCACCTTTTTCATTCTATTGTTCCCCTCTGCTTATTTTTGTCAAGGATTCTTTCCCTATATTTCTGTTTGTGTGAACCTTACACAAAAACCATGAAGATGAGATGAACGTTCATGGTAAGCAGGGAAATGTGGTTGTAAAGCCATGCAGTGTCTCCCAGGGAAATCAGATAGATGTGATACTCAAAATTATATTTGCCTCTTTTTTTTTTTTTTTTTTTTTTTTTTTTTTTTTTTTTTTTTTTTTTTTTTTTTTTTTTTTTTTTTTTTTTTTTTTTTTTTTTTTTTTNTTTTTTTTTTTTTTTTTTTTTTTTTTTTTTTTTTTATGTTTAGGTTTTAGGTCGGTAATGTCTGTTTATAGGAACTTTTCCTTTTGCCAGTATCAATGTTTAATATGTCAGTTTACTCTGAGTACCTGAACAGTCTCCATCTAACAGGTCTTCAGATGAGATCCAGTGGAGCATGTTGCTTTACCAGAGGAATGCTTTTGAAGATGGGGGCTTGCTCACTCGAAATCCTGTAAAGTTCATTCTCTGTTCTGGGCAAACAGCCATCTGTTTTCAGTGTGAGCCGAATCTCAGTTGAATCGGATTATGCTGCTGAGAGATTCTCTTCTCTCCTAGTCCCCCCATGGCAATCACATGCTTCCATAAGTGGCGAGAAGATGAGGTTCATTCTCCCTGGCAGCTCTTGGAAGTGGAAGGGGCAGGGGCTCGGGAGCTGCAGTGCCCTGCAGGCGGGCGGTACAAGGCTAGCTCGGGGCTGCCAGCCCCGTGCTGAGAGCCGGCACCGCCTGGTGCAGCTGTAGCATCTCCCAGGGCGCACACTCATCTGTGTCCTGCGTACCTCTCGCACCTGTTTGTTAATGTTTCCATGCCCTTTGTTAAACAGGCTGTTTCTCCACACTGCGGCTGGATGAGTATTCTGGAAGCGCTCACTGTGACGGTGGGAGAGGGTTTAGGTCAGAGATGTGTTTGCTTCTGGGTGCTCAGTGGCCATTTCAGACTAATCCGACAGCTGAGCAGGTCAGAACAACAGTGTTTGTGTAACTTTATTCCCGCTGATTAAACCAAATGAATGCATACCTGAAGTCCAGTTTGGGATCTGTCCATAAACGGGAGGGGGGAGCTGTAGGGAAGTCCTGGGGGGCTATAGGGAGGTCCTGTCCTCAGAGCAGCTCCCTTATTTGGCGGCCCCCTTTTTGGCAATGAAGAGAAAAACTGTAGGTCTGTGTGCACAGCCTTACTGCCATTGTGACAAATGGATTTCTTGCACATGGAGGTCCATCGTAAATACAATGCCAAAATTTTGCTGTGTCCAATGAAATTATTTCCAATTACTTTTCACTTTGTCTTACCACCACACCATACCACACACAGAGCATTACACCATCCCATGGTTTCATGCTTTTAATATTGCAGCTTAGCTATGCAGTTTTTTTTCCATTGTTAGACAAAAGTACTGGGAGGAGCAATGATACAGGATGCATTCTGTTTAGTAATATCAGCAGTGGACTGCATCATACAATCAGTAGGCACTGATAGAGAACAGCATTTTTTAACAGTTTAATAGTTGCTCAAGATGCTGCTCCTGTGGCTCAGTATCCCTCACTCCTAGCATTCCTGGCCTGATTTCAAACAAAGCGCTAAGCATGCTCTGCTCCCTTGTAACTGTTACTTCCCATGCTGACATTCAATTATGGCACAGCTGACATTTTCATTTATGTAGCACCCAACTGAAGTAGTTTTATCAGAATATAATCATAGAATCCATATAATTGTGAAAATTTATTTTTTGTTAAGCATTTTGCCCCCCAGGTGAACATACAAGAGGTTAGTTTGATGACTCCTTTTTGTCATTTACCCTGAAGAAGCAATTCACCTTTTAGCATTGAATCTGGTTTCTAGTGTAAGTTTTCCAATATTGTCACATGAGCTTAAACACAGACTCTCAAGGTACTGAACTGTCTCAGCCTTTCTGTTCTCCAACACTCTCCATGAATAAAAGGAAAAAAAGACTCTCCATGGCCACCAGAGTTCACAGGGGATCAAGTCCTTTTAACTTTTGAGTTTCTGTCAATAAAGGTATACAAAGCTGTTAAAACAGCAACCTCAGTGACTGCCTAACACACTGCCCAGGGGTCTGGCCTAAGCCTAAATCCTTGTGCCTGAAGCACAATCCTTAAACTGGGTGGGGAAGTCCTCTCCTGGGGCTCCAAACTGGCAGCTGTGCTCTGATCCCACTTGAGACCTGGAAGGACTTGTGGCAGGACCAGAGGCTAACCAATAACTAGAGGGACAACACAGTACCAGTAAAACTTGTAAGGAGGGCAGCAGTACTAACAAAGAAGAAATTTTTATAAAGGCATGCCCCTATACCTCCAAGTAGGTTGAACAGTTTCCCTGGATGCGAGGACTTGGGATCTCACCTCTGATTAGCCAAATTTTAGAAATTTTAAACTCAGTTTTTCCTTTCCCAGCTGAGTTTCCTGGAACTGCTGAAGTTGCTTTTTCTGTTGGCATCTCTTGGTTCCCTGCTCCAAGAAAAGAACCCCAAATTTCAATGGTTGCATATCTGTGGAAAAACTCTGGGTGTTGTACTCTCAAGGCTGTTTGTGTTATTGCAGGGATTCAGCCAGACAAACTAGACTCTTCTGTCACATTTTTTCAAGGACAGGAAAACTGAGGTACTGAAACAGCTCTAGCCAAGACAGGACATGCACTGTCATTTCTCAATCAACCACCAAGGATGCCAAGAGGAACAATCATGACCTCTTTTTCATCCCTCTGAATGACTATTATATAGTTCTTGTTTGATTTTTATTGAATATATAAAATTTATGTTGATATGTAAATTTTAATATTTGATATAACATTTTGTTTATCTTAAACCTTTTTATTTTATTAAAACATTACTTGATTATGACTAAGAAATCAAATATTACTTTTTTTTCTTTATCCCTGGAATGAAATAGTTGCAGCTGGAGGGAAAGAGATCTTTCATTAACACACTCTGCTGCAACACCAGATGGATCAACATTAGCTCATCCCACTTATTCCTGCATGATGCTCCAGAGAGGGTTTAGTCATATTTCTGGTGAGTTTGAGTTGAGCACTATCCTGAAGCTGTAGTGCTTCTGTCTAGCTTATTTGAAAGAAACCCAGGTATCTCTAAAGGTAGAGCTGCATTGGGAAATGCTATCAGCCTTTTTTATGGTGCTTTTGGGGGACAAACAACAGCCATGGACGCAAAGTGTTGGCACGCACAAAAGTCCTTTGCTGAAAATCCTTCCCAGCCTCTTCTTGGGTAGAATTTACTAGGAGACTCCAACTACTCCAACCACCTCCCAACACACATGAGAAAGACTCACAGAAGTATCAAGTTTCCAACATGAGAGGTTGACTATGACAAAAAAAAAGGAAGGGTAGAGCACAGCAGCACAACCTTCATGTTATTCCTCAGCCTCCGTGAGCCCCTGTCCCACTTTGGCACCATTGTTACAGATAATCATGGCCTCACAGGACAAGCGGTTACAAGATGAGAGGTCATCAGTCATGAATGATGAGAGCAGTGTGTTATTCATTCATGTTAGTGGATGAACATCTATGGAAAGGCAACATAGCTGTGGGGAGCATCAGCACACAGCTCATGTACAGTCCCCAGCCAAGAGCTCTGCATCTCGTGAAACAAGGAGAGAGGAGCATGGATGCACAGACAGAGTTGCTCTCCCCACTGGTTCTCTCTTCCTTGCCTTGTATGCCATGTGAGACACCCCACCCGCATCACAGAGAGAGTGAGGAAGGTTGTGGGTGGTGATGCCTATTATTTGCATCCGTAATAAAAATACTTTCCATTTTTCATTAGCTGCAGAAGGG